TCCCTTACCTTACAAGATTAATGAAGAGCATTTTTGTGAATTGTCACTTAGTGTCAGTATCAGCGTAGAAACGGCACCACTTTGGTGGATACTGACTGTTTTATTTCTCATGACAGTGTGCCTTATCTTGAGCAATTAATTCTTCTCTGTATCTTGAAAGGCCGTATCAGCAAGAGCCCCTGGTTTCCCAAGAGTAAACAGTGGACAAGGTAGCCAACGCAATCAGCTTAGCAGTAACCAAACAAGGCCAATCGGGAGTCCCGCAAGACTCTCATTCTTGAGTACGAAAATGGAACGCAAGAAGTCCCAACTGAGTTAGTTGTTGCCGGTTATGGAGCCCTCATGGTGTTGCCCATACATCCCTGCTACACAGACTCTGCAGCATCTCTGGCAAACTATGTACAAAACATTTTCTTCACAGGCACACACCAAGCCATAGCAGGAGTGCTCATGTATCCACCTGATCCGGCTCCCAAAGAGCCCCACATAACTTCCTTCCCTCTCTGTACAGGGATGAGCAAAGGGCTCCAACATGGCAGAGTAAACAACGGAGATGCCCCAATCCCTGTGCTACCGTCTGGTAGGACAGCCTTCTCACCCACATATCATTAGCACAAGGCACTGAGATTCAGAGCTTGCCTGTGACAGTAGCAACTGTCACCTTAATGGACTAGTCTTTCCTGAGACTGATTGGATGGCCTTCCTTGCAGTTTCAATATCCTTCCACAGATTTCCTTTTCCATTTCACTTAGCCAGAGTTGATTTCTGTTATGTTTGGCCACAGTCCCCCATGAACCAAACAAAAAGTATACTGATGAGATTAAAGCACGTTACCTCCATTGAGATTCTGTAGATGTTCACTGGGCTGACATTTTAAAATCAACACATATGTGCTTTTGAGAGAGAGGAAGTATGAGCTACAGAGTTTGTCCATTTATCACTTTTGAAGAAGTGACCGAAGCTTCTTTATTCTAGACACCCTGCTAGGCATTGCAGATTTAACAGTGCTGGAAATTGATCCTTGCTTCTGAAGAGCCATGTCTCAGTGCAATTAAGAACCTTCCAGGTCTGTGTGGGAAGCCAAGACAAGTACCGATGTCACCTCAGGAAGTAGAGTTAGAATCTAAGTCCAGTAGATCTGTGCTTGGTGCTTCAGACCTTCACACACCTTCCTGGATGATTCATCCACCCTTTCATGGCTCTGTGTATCACTCATCACTCTCAGATCTATTATCTCTCACCTCATTTCTCCACTGAGCTCCAGACCCACATTCCTAACTACCAGTAAAACATCTTCAACTTGGTGCTCCAGAAGCAGCTCACATTCAATGTCCAAAACCAGATTCATCTTCCTGCCTCCCCAAACCTGTGTTTCCACCCGTGTCCGCTTTCCTAATTGATGGAATGTTTGGCTACCCAGTTAGTTAGAAACCAAGGGGTCCTGTTTGACTCATCATTCTCTCTTTTTCAATACGTTAGTCATCAAACTCTACTGCTTTCATCTCGGAAATGTCCTACATTTTCTCTTCCTGATTCTCTACTCCCTTTCAGAATCTCACATCTGTCCCCTGTGCTCTGCAGCATCCTCATATTCAATCCCTCTGCTGGTCTTCTCTCTCCAATCATTGCTCTGACGCTGAGATCCAATTTCATTCCTCTAAGTTTCCTTCTTGACTCCCCAAAATCTTCAGGATGAACCCCAAGCTTCTTATTCTTACTTACGAGGGTACCTTAAAAATCCATAGAAAAATTAAACTAAAAGGTAAGTTTATTTTGGAGTAAAACAATTTCAAAATCCTTGCATAGTTTTGCCATGATACTCAATTTTTGCATGGGCTCTTTGAAGAATCCTGGGGCGAAGAAATTTAAATGCTACCTCATGAATGTGTTCATCCTCACCTTTGCTAGTGTATGAGGAAACTAAAGTCTTCTTAGCTTTTCCTCCACTTTATTTCTTTCAATAATCTTGTTCATTATCTGAAATCCCAACTATTTTTCTGCCCTCACTTTCTGGCCATCTCCAAGAAAGGGTAATCAGTTCCTTCCAGATGCCATCAATCCTTTCTTCTCTCTTAGAGGATTTGCCTTATCACTCCTGACCTATTGCAGTTTGTACCCTCTGGCTCCCCTGTGAATGTGCATTACCCTACATATTCTGGAAGCCAACACATAACCCTGCTTATCCCTGTGATGAAGACTGAGTGTCTGGGGTGGTCATAACACTCAACGCTTCATCACCTATCTCTTAATCCCAGAATTTTAGAACTAAATAAAACTCAAAAGCAACAAAGTTCAATACCTTTTTCTATGCACAAAAGTCTGAGATAGTAAGTCTGGCTAGAAACTTTCCATCCTCTTGAATACTTCCTGGGACACAGACCTCACCACCCCTAAAAGCATTTATTCCATCTTCAGATGTCTCTAGTTAATATTTCTTCCTTTGCATGGAGACAGGCTTCACTCCTCCCCCTATAACCTGCACTCCTGGCTCACTTTCATGTAGTCGGAGCATATTTCCAACCCCTCTTCTACACAACATCATTTCAAGTGCTTAGAGATACTTGCCATGCTCCCTGCTCCAAGGTCCCATTCACAGGACCAAATCTTCCAGTCATTCCTCATGCAAAATGCAGTGACTGAGCCAGTGGCTCATGGACAGAAGTTGGCAAACTGTGAACTCAGTTCTCTTCCCACTAAGCTCTTCCTCTGCATGAGGGTTGAGATCAAACATTGACTACTCTCCTGATCTTACATGAAAAAGTGCACGTAACAAACAGGCCTGCAGAATAAAGCAAGCAAACAACTCAAACTTTTCAAATTATGTCAACATTTTGAAATATCACATGTAGGGTATCAAGACAAAGGAGACTCAAAGTTTTGCATTTGGGAATTAAATCCATTACCTTACGAAGCCAAAAATATTGTATAACTTTCAAAGTAACCTCTTTAACACAAATGGTGCTGCCCTAACAACCTTCTGTGACAAAAAAAAAAAAAAATGATCATTTTTGGACATTTAAAAATAATGTGGTACAGAGAAGATTTATGTTTCTCCTCCCCAAGAACTCTAACCCATCTCTACTTACCTCTTGATATGCTGATGTAATGTTTTTGTTTGTTCAAACAAGATTCATTATACAGTAGTCAGGTGAAAAACTCCCATGTCGAATAGAAATAACTGGTACAGATACACACATATGGTGTCTTAGGGACTGCAATGGGTTTTGAGTTGCAACCCTCTGCTCCCCTGCCCCAGTTTTCCTGGACTATTCTTTTAAAAACAGTACTGATCTATGCCCATCTATCTTCCCATCATTGGCGACCACTGTCTTTCATGGCTTTTTTTCACTCACTTCTCATCTGCTGACCTCTTTTTATCTGGGGAGCAGCATTCTGCTCCAAGCTGCTGTGTGTGTTTAGACCCAAACAAATGCCTTTCATTCTCTTTAGCACACCCTCCAATGACAAAGCATTCACTCCATTCGCCTCCCAGGGTTTACAGAGCAATTGGCACCAAAGAATTTAAAGTGTTTTCACCTGGCCTCCTTTTCCTGCACAGGCAATTACTTCTGTGTACATGGCTGCCCTGGCCAAATAACTGTGTTCACAATCAGCTAATTGCAGGCTCAATGAATCACTTGTTCCTTCAAACTCGGCTATTAGAGTTGTGTGATTAAACAAGAATTTATGCTTTTAATTCCCTTCCGATTCCAAGAGTTACAGCAGAGCCCAAATCTGGTCACCCTGTGCTTCTTTACAATATCAATATAAGCCATTTACTCTTTATTTCCCTGTGAATATGTTGTATTTCTATTCTGTCACAAATCATTTAAGTTATATGTTATATACTGGACCCAAGATTTATGATAAAATCAAGTTATCCTTTTAACAAGGTGACCATTATTGTCTTAATCCAATTTGTAAAACAGAAAACCTAAAATAACGGAGCAGTTGTTTTCGCCCAAATTCACAATTGTGAATCAAGATGAAAACTAAAATTTTTATATAAAATCTTTTCATAGAAAGTTTTAATTTAAAGTAGTTGGAGTTTCCCACAAAGGGTGATGATCAACCTGCAAGCTCTTTTGCCTTTAAACAGGACTACCTTAATCCATCCTTCCAAATTGCCATCAACTGGATTCCTGGATGGCAGCAAAAAAGGCAATTTCTTCCAGACAATGACCTCAGGTGTATATCCTGAACTAGCTTTGCTCCTACACTCGTTCAAGTTCCTTAATTTTGCTCCAGTTTCCATATTCTACCATTAGATACACAGCACAAAATGTGTGCTCAATTTTCAGTTCCACACAAGGGGTCAGCTCCCACTGCTACTGTTCCAAATCACCAGAGAGGAAAAGTGACCAAAAGGAATGACTTTCCATTTATGAAGAAATCAGTACAGATAAGAATTCAATAGATTTGCTTTGAGTGGAATTCAGACACTTCCAGGTTCCAAGAAATTTGACTTCCAAGCAAACACTACTAGCATGTCTCCCAAACCCCTTTTTTCTCTAGGTCCCTTTTGTCACTGTCCCACCAATTCATAGCCATCTTGCCTTATGATCATCTTCAGTGGAGTAACGGAATGGGGAAAAGATTCCCAGGGTCTCTCAAGATCATGAGACACTGGTGAATCTTCACATCTCAGGGGTCTCCTATCCTGCTTCAAGGGGCCTTTAACATTTGCCTCAACAATTACCATATAAAAAAGATCAGCTACAGACAAAAGGAGAAATCAGCGTTTAAAGGTAAAAGCAGAAAGAAGAGATGAGAATGACAGCAGAGGAAACACTTGGGGAAATGGGAAAGAGGCAGCTACAGCCTGCAAGAAAGCTGACCTCACCGATGCAGTGGCTGCTCACAGAGGACACACGCAAAGACAGCTCCATTTAAGGCCCAGAAGCCGGGCGTGCAACCTGCGACATGCTCAGGCAGAAGTGACAGCAGGGACTCAATGCAAGCAGCCTAAGGTGCAAAGGTGTCCTCTGCTTTTCCCTTACCCAACACCAGCACTTCCACCGAGTCCTCGTTCTTGCCCTCCAGGTCATCAGGTGTGGTGATGATGCAGTAATAGAGCCCGCTGTCTCCCCACATAAGTTTGCCGATTTGAAGATCTGCATCTATTATCACACACACACAAAAGAAGGTCCCAGTTGTAAAACTCTGTCCTCTCCAAAACAAAAACAAATACTGAACAGTGTTGGGGGGTGGGAAGGGCCCTTGTGGTATGCCTGTGTTTATTGCTTCACTTGAATGGCAGCTGAAAACTATTTACCTTATTTAAAACCAACAAAACAATTCCACGGACTAGTATCTTAAGGCAAGAAAATGGAAGTACGGCCCAAAGTCAGGCTAGTCCTGGTTCAGTCTCAGAAGTAGAAGCATTGGCCTTCAGTTGGGCTTGTAGAGGCCCCTGAGAGCCCGTGAAACTACAGATGTATTCTGGACTCCTGATTATTAACAAACTTCACACGAGTCCTTAAAAATTCAAGCAATCTAGTCGGTCATATCAGACTTTTCTATCCAGAGATGGGGTGGGGGCAGGGTGTGGGATGCCAAGGGAGGGCAGGAGAACAGGTGGGATTGCGAGAAAGCCACGTGGGGTTTGGGCCAAGGCATCACCCTAGCTCTGTACTTGCACGAAGCATCCCTGCTCCCCGCAGAGGCACCTCTTAGGAAAGTGTTTCTGTGTTTGGGAAAAGGCCAGAAAGGCCGATTTCAAGGTAGAGGGATGTTTGAAGTTCTTTCATGGGAATCTAGTTTGATTCAGGCAAGCAAGCTCCTGAGATCCAAGATCAAGCACCAAGAATACTGTCTCAAAGTTCATCTCTGTATCACTTGGTTCTGTACCATTCACGCTTCCTCCCTTTGCCACTCCATTAAAAGTGTGCTAGGTCTCTTGATGCTCCTGTCCTCCCTTAATCCAAATTTTAGTGACCTAGAGAATTAGCAGCTGATGGAGAGCAAGAGTACCAACCCTCCAGCCCCGCCCAATCTACCATTCCCTGGTTCAGAACAGAGCATTCTTACCATGGACGATGGTGATCTCCCGGCCCCTGTAGAATTCCCCCAGGGTGACAGTGGAACCCTGTTTGGAAGCTACCACTCGCACAGTTCTCCTGCTGTCTAAACAGTCCAAGTAAGGGTCCCATTCCAGGTTCCTCTTGCTGAGAGACTGAATCCGGGTGGAGGACATGCCCAAGGACTCCCCCATGCGATCCTGGCAGTAGGACTTGAACTTCCATTGCACAACTGCGGGCTGATGGGAGGAGGTGGAAAAGTGACAGCGAAGCACTGTTGGCTGGAAGAGCATGGCTATCTTCTTCTTGTCGGGCACTCTGACCTGCAGACCTTCAACCATGGCTGCAAAAGAAAACAGACCTGTCCAAAGGTATCCATATGCTGGGTCTCACCTCCAATTACACAGTCACACCTTCCCATGTTACACATTCCTAACTTGTGCTGCCTCCCTCTTCCATCCTTCACTCAATTACAAATCAATATCCACCTGCCTTCACCCTCTATATACAAATAGTCACTGAGTCATATCAGTTTGATTTCTTAGCATCTTTAATATTTCTTCTGTTCTCCTCAGCCTCACCATTATTGCTTTTGTTTAAGTCATTTTCATTTCTTGCTTATCATAATACAAGAATGCCTTGTCTGGTCTCCCTGCCTTCAATATAACAACATCCAGTGCATTTTGCTTCCATAGTTAAATCTTTCTCACCATTGTGGCTCTCTTAAAATCCTTCATTTACTCTCTAGGGCCTCCAGGATAAAACCTACGGTTCTTGGTTAGGCACCCAAGGTACTCCATCACCTAGTTCTTCTTCCTTGTCCACACCCCCTGAATCACTTCCATTTGAACACTGAGCTCAAACAAATTCATTTCCCCAGTAAAACATGCTATTTCATATCTCCAAGTCTTTGCATATGAGGTTTCCTTAGGTCTGGAATTATTTCTCCTTGTTTCTTTTAGGAAGCCTTTTCACATCTTTCAAAACCCAGTTCAAAGGTTTCCAGTAAAGCCTTCCCTGACCAGTCAGTTCATCACTCCTTGCTTTGTGCCATCAATTGACCTAGTGTTCTGTTTTAGACATTGGCTATAAAAATTTCACAAGTGTTTGTTTTCATGTCTGGCACTCCTGTTAAACTTGTCAAGTGAGGACTGTGTTTTTTTTTTTTTTTTTTGCCAACCTATTTTATGAAACCCATTGGGTCTCAATAATGATTTCATAATTACAATGGAGCCAGCACGTGTGACTTTGGGAAGTGACTTCCCTTCCAGCTGGTGACCAAGCAAAGGGGACAGAGACAAAGGCAGAAAGAAGTCCTTGTGAGAAATGAAGGATTTCAGATCAAAGCCAGTATACCAAGTTCAAAAGTTTTGAAGGGTAACCAAAAGAAGAAGAAAAAAAGCAGATAAGAAGTTTGAGTGGTAAAATGATCCCAAACCCAGACTCAGTAACCAAGAAAAAGAATTTTTAGGAATGAGAGACCAGGGCAATAGTAAGATCCAGAAATTCCAAGTATGCAAGAAATAACTTCCTCATTAGAAAATGAGAGCCAAATGGCCAAAGAAATGAAGGAACAAGTGGATACCTATTGATAAGAAAACTTCTAGCACTTTGTAAAGGAAACTGGTTACATGAATCACAGATAACATAATTTAGTAATACTGACATCACATAGGCAGAGATGTCAACATTATCTGGCCACATGCGTATACCAGAGTTGAGGTCTTGATGAATGTCCGCAGCAGTCTGAGACTCCTTCTTCTCACCTTCAAGACACACATCATAATGCATGATCCAGGGTAATTAGCAAATGTTACCGCATTGGGAGCTTTCACAGAGTACATCTAATAGAAAAGCACTGAGCCAAGTGAAGAGTAGATCCCAAATACTAACCCTCTCCCACATTCCCTGCCTCCCCCTCACTTCCATCCTAAAGCTTCTGGACTTCAATGACTATCCCTATCAGTAGCTGTGATTGTAGCCAGATTATGGGAACCAAACCCATCAAGGAGCAAAGAATTCTCCCAGGAAGCTCACTGAAGAAGCCCAGTGCCCGCCCTTCACTTCAGCAACCCCCAAATGTTGATGTGGGAGATCCCGGTCTCCTGGTTCCATACAGCTACATCAGGAAAGCCAGTTTCTAGGGACATTCTCTTATATGAATGCTTAACTTGGCAATTCTTTACCTTTTTATACTTGTGCCTCCCATCCCAGTTTTTCAAGTAAGAAAAGAGGAACAGAGAGGTGACATGACTTCAATGAGTGGTGGCTGAGGTTGGATAATGAATCACAGATAAGGTGCCCAGGACACACTGTAGACTTGGTCATACCACCTTCCTACTCTGCTTGCTGTTCAGCTCTACTTAAAAACATTACCTTTCCTAGCCTTTCTAGGATAAACAGAACAAGCTAAGGAGGCAGGTGTTCAAGATGGAGAGTCAAGTTCAGGGTTTTGTTCCTTAGATGCTAACTAAGAAAAATCTCCTTCCCAGCTCTGCTCTCTGTTAATGAGATTAAACCATTTGAGCAAACCACTGGACTCTTTTAATCAATTACTCATAGAGAGTAATCAGAATCAGTCAATTCTGAGCTGCTTCCATGACACACACAGAAACTCGTATTCAAAAGATGAAGAATATATCCCCAGAAACATACTGACTTGAGAGAGAAAGGAGAGAAAAACTAACTATAAATTGACTCCACAAATGCCTACAATGGCAGGGACTAAACTGAGGTCAAGCCTGAAACACAATCTGGTCTCTGGTCTCCCATTTTGGTGGCAGAAACCCAGGAGTTTGAGCTACCACCCATTGGCAGGAAGCTGGATTCAGGAGCTGGAACAGAGAATTTAACTCAGGTACTGCAACACAGGACATGGGTGAATTATCTGACTTCTTAACCACTTGATCAGATGCCCAATCTGATATTGTATATATGTGTGTCTGTATACATATATACACACACATATCTGTATATATATACAGATATACTGATATATATACACATATATACATATATGTGGGGTGTCTATGTGTATATGTAATACTATCATGCTCTACAGACATATATACATATGTACAACTTGTATATATATATTATATACATACATATAATAATTATTAGCATGCTAGTTACAGGCATAGATTTTGTAATCAGACTTAAATTAGCATCAACGTCCCACTGTCGGGGTCCCTCGTCCCGTGAGCAAGACCCCGATACGGTAAAGACTTTTTGAAAAGTTTATTACTGGTGACTTCAAGGGTAGCAGCAAAGCAAAAGCAGTTACGGCCTAGCGCTAGCGATAGCCTCTACAACATAGCCTTGGAGCGAAAGCAGTGCGCCTGGGCAAATCTTCTCTTTTAACTATTTTTTACCCAGACCTTTTTACATTACACAAACCAATCCTTACACAGCTCCTTACATCACGCAGCGAGCACACCAATCATGACTTAGGTCACACAGCTTCCCTGCGTGCTCGGCCCAGTCCTCAGTAACTTTCCAAAACCTGTTTACCACTTTTGACCCACGAAGCAAGATCAACAAGCTCCATCTTTGAGGCACAGCTCTGCTCTCCACATCCCACCACTTCCGAATCACATGATCTCAGGCAATTTACTCAACTCTTACGTATTTCTATTTCCTCACTAATAAAACCAGAATAATAGTGACTGCCTTAGGAGTTACTTGAGGATTCTATGAGATTTTATTGTCTAAGTATTTAGGATACTACCTAATATGAAGTAAGCATTCAATAATGTAGTTGCTGAAATTGTCAAAAATTGACTTCTAAGGTACTATACCTACCACTGAGTGGACACAGATATGAAGGCACAAGGTGCTGAGAGTGAACACTGTAGAATGGGCAAAAACTGCACAAGAATGCTAAGAACATATCAGTAGGAGTTGAACATTTCTGAGTAGACTCATCACTGCACCGCATACATGCCTGTAAGCCCTGGGAGTCAGCAATGGACAGCAACGCTGTATGTGTTCACACAGGCAGAGGCATGCACACACATGTAAGAGTACAATGAGATTCTAAGTCAGGGACAGTTCCAGATAGCTGGCATGGACAAGATTAGGAAATTCTAAGTGAATATAAATATACTGACCTCTGAAAATCACAGGAGTGCAAAATTAGAATTGAAATAACAATAACCACAAAAATCCCCATGTTTTGCTTCCAAACTGTAAAGTGAAAACTTCCTTATATTCAAGCTTGCCCTGCCAAATGTACCAGGAATCCCATTCCCACTGGATACTGGGATCTAGAAGAGCACTTGTGGCCTTGACCCGGGATCCCAGGGCGCTCAAGTTCCTGATACCCGCCAGCAGTATGTCTCCCTCAAACTGTGCTTGCCTTATACACAGACTGTATTTCCACCTCAGTATCCTGAAGCAGGGGCTGAAGCCTCATTCTCAGTCTAGCTTGTTTGTTCCAGGTCCTTACTCCCCCATTCTCCAAAGGTCTGGGTGTGATTTCCTATACCCTCATGCATAGCTATTCCAAATCTGAAACTGGGATACTCTGCCCATACAGCTTCAAAAGACGCTTCTCATGGGACCTCACTTCCACCCACAGACAGGGCCCTCAGTAGCTAACTGGGCTAGGAACCAGGACTGCCAATGTCCCGTGGACACTGAGACCATCTAGGGATACCTTCTCTGTGGTTTCCCTTGCCCAAGAGCTCTGCTCTATGGCAATACGTCAATGTCCTGACCTGTGCTTTTATTTTTGCTATCTCATCACTTATCAGGTGGCAAAAACCAAGTAGTTCTTATGTTGTAGTCTATACAGGTTAGTGAAAATACAAAATAATATCTTCAAGTGCCAGATAAGCAAACAAAGGTTTTCTGGGCAGACATTTTGCCTACGTAAGGCACCCACGTCAACAGTAAAGTAGCTGAATTCAACATTTTGTTCCTTCTCTTGACTCCATTGTTCTGATGCAGACACAGGGTGCAGTGGTGATGGCTCCAGTAGTTGGGTTCTTGCTACCCATGTGGGAGACCTGGAATAGTCTCCAGCTCCAGGGTTTGGTCTATCTCAGTTCCAGATGTTCCAGATGTTACCAGCATCTCAGGCGTAAACCAGCAAATGAGGCTTGCTCTCTCTCTCTCTCTCTCTGTATTTCATTAAACAGTTTTTAAAAGTGTCTTAACACTGAAAACTTAAAAAATGATTTTCAGCCTCTGGGTAGTGTCAAGCTGTGCATTTCCATGTAAGAAATCATACTTTAAGAGTTATAACTGAGATCCTCAATTTCTTGGGTTCAATCAGCATGTTTAGCAAGTTTCTCAAACTAAGCATGTCTCAGTGTCAGTCATCACCCTTTCCCACAA